GCATCTTCAATGTTGCCATAATATTTTATGAGAAAAAGCATGGTGAATGTGTTAAGAAACAGGAAGCACTCAACAGATCCTGCAAATTTAGTATTAATTCCTCGTCAGCCGTAGCCTGTCGAAATAAGGGGGCCAGATAATGTTTTTAACACACTAAAATTAGCTTTGTTAAACATTTTTTAATCAATGATTTTATAATAACTCACAATCTTAATTTCACGTTTTTAACTGAAACTTGGTTGGACCAAGATAACAGTGCAGCTGTCCTTATCGAGTCTACCCCTCCCAACTTCAGTTTTATAGTGAAGCTAGAGAGGAGGTGGAGTTGCCATTTTGTTTAATGACTCCCTCCAATGCAAAAAGATGTCTTATGGGAATTTTGCTTCTTTTGAATATGTGGCTCTTCAGCTGAATTCCTCTTCTCAAGCTAATTTTCTAAATATCTACAGGCCCCCTAAATAATGTGCAAACTTTTTTGATGACTTTGTTGAACTGCTGTCTATAATCTGTATTGACTTTGACTGTGTAGTTATTGTTGGTGATTTTAACATCCATGTTGACAACCCCCAGGACAGAGGGACTAAAGAACTGTGTTGTGTTCTTGATAATTATGGACTGACTCAACATGTGATGGTCATCAAGGGTCTGGACATTTCCAAGGTTGTGGTGACTGATGTTGCTCTCTCTGATCATTCCTGTGTTTTCTTTGAGAGTGCTATCTGCGTGCACACAAATGTTAAAACAGAGGCGATCACAAAAACGGCATATTACTGAAAACACTAGTGAAAAATGTATTGAGGCTTTCTCCTCGACACCCGCCCTCTCACGGGTCTCAGTCAATAAGCTTGTAGATAATTTCAGTTCTAAAATTACAAATGTTATTGGTGAAGGTGGTCTCTGGTAAGAGAAGATCTCCATGGAGAAATGCCACGCTGGTTAGAACTCAAAAAAGAGAGTGTTGAAAAGCTGAACGCAGGTGGCGGAAAACAAATCTCCAGGTTCATTATGACATCTATAAAGAGAGACTTCGCATTTTTATTTAGAGCTGAGAAATGCAAGGCGGTCCTTCTTCTCTGACATCATCACCAAAAACACAATTTGCTTCCTTCTTCACAGACAAAATTCAAACAATTAGACAAGCAATCAGTGCCTCCATGTCAGTAACAGGATATGTCTTGTCCCTGTGTCCACTTAAAAACAATTCATATAGCATGAGACAATTTGATTCTATTAACCATAAAAACCTGGAGGACATAATACAACATCTGAAATCCTCCTCATGCTGCCTTGATATTCTGCCAACAGGTTTTTTCAAAAATGTGTCTAAATGCATGGCCTCAGATTTACTACAGATTGTCAACATGTCTCTCATCTCAGGTTTTTTCCCACAGGCCCTGAAATCTGCAGTCATTAAGCCACTCTTAAAAAAGAGCAATCTAGACAGGTCACTAATGAGCAATTATAGGCCCATATCAAATCTCCCATTTTTAAGTAAAATCATTGAAAAGGCTGTTTTTCAACAGCTTAGTGCTTTCTTGGCACTAAATAACTGTTTTGATGTCTTCCAGTCAGGTTTTCCACCACACCACAGCACTGAGACGGCTCTTGTTAAGGTCTTCAATGGCATTCATTTAAACACTGACAGTGGCAGAATTTCAGTCTTAGTATTATTGGATCTCAGTGCTGCATTCGTCACGGTCGACCACAACATATAACTAGACAGACTTGGGTTGGACTTTCTGGCACAGTACTAAAATAGTTTGAATCCTACTTAAAGGACAGGGACTACTTTGTATCTATAGGTAATTACACATCTGAGCTGACAAAAATGACATGTGGAGTTCCCCAAGGCTCCATTCTGTGACCTCTTTTGTTTAACATTTACATACTTCCACTGGCTTAGATTTTGACAAACAACAAAATATGTTACCATAATTATGCAGATGACACAGATTTACATAACCATTTCACCAAGGGACTATGATCCCATACAGGCACTGAGTAACTGTATTGAGCAGGTCAATGATTGGATGTGCCAGAATTTCCTTCAATTAAACAAGGATAATAATAATAATAATAATAATAATAATAATCCTTATTTGTAGAGCACTTTTCAAAAACAAGTTACAAAGTGCTTTAACAAGTGTAAAGAATAATGCAAAAAAAAAACAAGATAAGAGCATGAAAATTAATATAAAATTTGTAAAATACAATAAAATAAAAGGGATAAAATAAAGTCAAATAAGATCGGGAAAGGCTCTCCTATAAAAGTATGTTTTAAGAAGGGAGTTAAAAGAGTTCACTGACTCAGCTGACCTGATTTCCTCGAGCAGGCTGTTCCAGAGCCTCGGGGCCCTGACAGCAAACGCTCTGTCCCCTTTAGTTTTCAGTCGAGACTCTGGAACAGACAACAGACCTCTGCCCGAGGATCTCAAGGTACGTGCTGGTGTGTATGGGACTAAAAGGTCAGAAATATAACAAGGCGAGAGGCCATGAAGAGCTTTAAAAGTGATCAATAGAATTTTAAAGTCAATTCTAAAACATACTGGGAGCCAGTGTAATGAAGCTAAAATAGGAGTAATGTGGTCATATTTCTTTGTTCTGGTTAAAAGCCTGGCAGCTGAGTTCTGGACAGTCTGGAGTCGATCAATAGATTTTTGGGTTAAACAGGTGAAAAGGCTGTTGCAATAATCCAGGCGTGATGAGATGAAGGCGTGTAAAATGGTCTCGGTGTCCTTAAAAGTTAACATAGATCGAATTTTTGCTATATTTCTAAGTTGATAAAAACATGATTGAACAAGCTTTGTGGTGTGCTGCTCGAAATTTAAATTACTATTAAACCAGACACCAAGGTTCTTTGCAACAGGCTTAATGTGATTTACTAGGGAACCAGCAGATGGCAGGATAAAACTGAAGTTATTGTTTTTGGAGCCAGGGAGGAACGATTGAAAGTCAGTGCTCGACTTCAATCTGTAAAGAGAACCACAAATCCAGCCAGAAATCTTGGTGTAGTCATGGACTCAGACCTGAATTTGAGGAGCCACATTAAGACAATTACAAAGTCAGCCTACTATCACCTGAAGAATTTTTTCTTCAAGGATTAAAGGACTTATGTCTCAGCAGGACTGGAAAAGCTTATCCATGCATTTATCTTCAGTGGACTCGACTACTGTAACAGTGTCCTTACAGGGCTCCCTAAGAAATCCATCAGACAGCTGCAGCTGATTCAGAACGCTGCTGCTCGAGTCCTCACTAAGACCAAAAAGGTGGATCAGACCACTCCTGTTCTGAGGTCTTTCCATTGGCTTCCTGTATGTCAAAGAATTGATTTCAAAATCCTGCAGTTAGTTTATAAAGCACTAAATGGTTTAGGGCCAAAATACATTTCCGATCTTCTGCTTCGTTATGAACCATCCAGACCTCAAAGGTCGTCTGGGGCAGGTTTTGCTTTCTGTCCCCAGAGTCAAAACTAAACAAGGAGAAGCAGCGTTCAGTTATTATGCTCTGTATATTTGGAACAAACTCCCAGATAACTGCAGGTCTGCTGAAACTGTCAGTTCTTTTAAATTAAGACTGAAGACTTTTCTTTTTACCATTGCTTTTAATTAAATTACTGATAACTTACACTGCACTATAACTTTTACTGTCCTGTTTTCTTTTTCTTTGTATTTAGCTTTTTATCATTGCTTTTAATTAAATATTTCCATTTAACTCTATTAACCCTGATTGTAACACTGTAACTTTTATTATATTTTATGTTGCTTTTAAACTTTTTTATATTTCCCTGTTGCTTTTATGTTTTATGTAAAGCACTTTGAATTACCTTGCTGTTAAAATGTGCTATACAAATAAACTTGCCTTGCCTTGCCTTACAGAACTTAAACATGGGCAAACCAAAAAATAAATAAATAAATGTAATAAAACATCTTCATTTGCATTTGTTTCATGTTGCTATGACCAGGCAAGAACATCTCTAAAGTAAAGGCCCCCAATGTATTAGCAAATAGATAGGTCTGCTTAACTTACTAACCCTATACACTACATTTACGTTTAGAATCCATATAGTAGGCCTGCTTTCAGCAACAATAACTATTAAAGGGAAATTGATAAATGAGTTGTTGAGTCTGTTCTGTCTAGCAGAGGTGCTGTTCTACATGAAGACAGCAGATGGCGCTCAACGTTAAGAAAAAGTCAACACTTGAAAATAGATGTCAGGTCATCTAGCACCTATTCCTAAGACATTTACACCAGTAAATTAAATATAAAAACATCACAATAAAACTGAATTACTAGGTAGTTTCTATGCTCCATATATATTGAGACCTTTTAATGCTTTATTTTTGTCATTTTATGCCCTATGTTGTTAAGTTTCTAAAAGCTAATAAAACTATCAAATCTATTCGTTTTGCAGTAATATCTGTATAAAATCTTACTAGACATCTTGATCAAAGAACTATGTTTAGCACATATTATACACTCACATTCCCTGTCTTACCCACCTCCCAACCTTCCCTATTCACTGACTGGACGGGCATTGTGTCATTCAACTGACTGAACAATGCTCTCTTCACTTGCCCCGCCAAAAAATCTGAGTTGTCAGAACATAGAAATAAATGATGGAAATAAAAGCAATCAACAAAGTAACAGACTTGGGTTAAAATTGCGGCAGTTGTTTTATTTTTGAAAACAAACAACAGAAAGCCACATGACAATGCTAAGCTGAGTCAGTCAATATCCAAGGAAGAACAATACTTGCTGCAATTTCAACAAAAATCACTCACTAATTTCGATAAATAATTTTGCCTGACTTTTGCCGCGTCTGCCCCTAAATTATTATTAAAAATGATCTCGACTCGACTATTCAGAAAACCACACACTTTCCTACTCAAGTCTTCTTGGTAGCCTACATCTCTTTGTTGCTACGCGGTGTTTGACGAACGTAACTTCTTTGTCATCCCACATTTCCGACAGCTCGTGAAGGCAGCAGTCCTTGCATTGTGGCCCTGCAGAGCTAACGCCATCACACGCAGTGGCTACGACGAGCAGCACGTCGACAACAGGGCCACCACAGCAGCGCAGTCTTTATTACTGTCAAATTATTTCATTATAACGGCTGTGGAATATAGTGCTGCGGATTATTAGACGCGTTTGAACTGGTAAGAGACATTGCTTTCCATTTAACTCGCCATTCAACTCGCTTGTTTATCTGAAGCCAAAAATGAATTACTTTGATTTTTCCAGGTTATAACTATTATTGACATTTCATGAACGTTAAGATGCTTAACGGTAGCCTGTTAGCTTGCTACATCTTTCTCCACCTCCTCTAAATGAACGGCTGTCTGGGCGAGGCGGCGGCTTTTTTTTAGTGCGTTACTCTGTGTGTTTTCAGTGAAATATATAACGTTACACCGGCATACATCTGCCCTGGCTAACTGGAGTGATGAAACAGCACACGAAGCTAATTAGACAAGTAGGTTATCCACGGTCAGCGGCAAAAGAGAAATAATACGTTGTGCTTGTTATCCAACAGCAGGCTTTTAGTTCTCAGAGCTTCTTGACGCATTGGTTTTTGGTTCTCTGCTAGGTTGTTTACCCCCCCCCCCCCACACACACACACACACTTTCTCCCATCATCATCAGCATCTCCTATAGATGCTTAGTGGAGTCAGATGAAGGGCACAACCTCACGTGATTGACAGTGGTACTCTTTTCTGGGATGCATTTAGGCTCCTCTGCATGCCATAGGGAAACCACAGTGCTCAGTTAACTTTGAGGACCAAGTTGCATTCCTCCACATGAGACGTGTGATGGCATCACTTTAATGCTAGGTACCCAAATTGTATCTTTCCTGATGTGTGGTTGTGATTTCTGGAGGATAACAGGGTGTTTATGACTTGTATGGCCACTTTGTTTTGTTTTCAAAAAGTCAGATACATTGCAGTGTGCTGAGGATATGGAGAGTTTGCTGTGATGCCGTCCCTCCTCCTCCTCCTCTAAGGGAGGCTTCTCCCTCCTTTCCTTTTGTAATTGGGGTTAATTTCTCTCGTCACCTTTTTCACCTTTTAAAACAATGACGGGCGTCCCTCCATCCGTTATTTCGGCCCATTAAACCTGGCCTGGTCTGAATCGCAGCCATTTGTTCCATCCGTTGTGTTTGCAAAATTTGTGTAATTGATAGTATCATCAGCCACTGCCATTAGGCGCCCAGCAGTTTCTCTCTTACGTCAGCATTTCTTCCCTTAAGAAGTGTTTTTTAATGAAACAGCTTCTGTTTATTACATGCAACAGACAGCGCCACTTGAACTGAATTTAGGTGGCTCTCTTAAGGGAACACTGCAGCAGCTACAAGTGATACAATGCGATGTGGAGTTGTAATTTCCCCTGCTTTCTTTTGCTTAAGAAGTACTATTATCCCTATTTTCAGAAAGCCATCTTCCTTGTGTTTTAGTTTTGAGCAGTGCCAGCAGCTGGCAGACAGCTCGCTTACCCCACTAAATGTAAGATTGCTGTATGAAGAAGACAAAGCTGCTTATTTCACAAGCATATGACGTTATGGCCTGGTGAGTTCAGGTGCTGCAAGGTGCACTGTATGTGAGCACATTATATGTAAGGCTTTGAGGATGGATTTGTCATCAGGCTGCCGGGATAATCTTTATTTAGAAGTAGTGGTTTTCGAAACCACAGGAACCAGTGTGAAATATAATGGTTTGTGTGAGTACAGATCCCATTCTCATGTTCTGAAGATCATTTTATGTCTGTTGGAAGTCTGCATTAGTCCAGGACCTAATGTGAAAAATCCTTACTTCAATGTTTGGGTTAAAATATGGCATTTGTTTTGCAGGAAAAGAGGTCAGGATGAGTTATGAGCTAAGGGCTGCTCCTTTTTATTCTTATACTATACAATAGGATGAGGCATGCATGGCGTCGCTGATGAAAGTCCCATGTGTTTAGCATGTAGGCCCAGTTAGACAGCTTTAAACGGCTTCTCATCCTCTTACATTGTGGTGAAACGCTGCCAAAGCACTGTGCTCCTAATCACAGTTCACTCCGTCACTGACTGCAGACGGGTGCTTTGTGCTGGCTGTCCCGATCAGGCAGGTTATCACACAGAGGAAGTTAGGCCAGTAGAACACAGGAACTCTAAGGCAGTAGTAGAGCATGTAGGAGTTAAACTTTAAGGGTGATAAATGGACCCAATAATTAACTTGGAAAAATTCAGTGTGCAAGCTGTTTTTAATGTCATGGGCTTGTGGTTTTGTTTTTCAGTGAATCGAAATCTTATGAACATCTCAATATGGCCAAGTACAGTATTCACATCGCAGGCGGTGCAATCTTTTAAAGAAGGTAAAATGTGTCACAACATCCCATTATAAATGAAGCATCGCGGTGCTACAGAGACGCTGTGGCCTACAAATCATTTTCTCCAGACTTGAGGGAACATCCTTGTTTGGTACAGACACATCATCAATATTTTAATATTTTCTTTCAGTGAAAATGAAATGCAAAAATTACCATTCCCCCTGAAATCCTGACTCATAAAACAACTGCAATATCTGTCATTATAATTGCAAAACGTTTTTCTTAACACAGTTAAGAACGATTAACACAGGGACAGTCTGAGTACAGAGTATGAATATGTGCCTGCTGATATTGTGGTTTAATATTCTCAAACACATTTTTAATTAAAGGAGCACAAACCAGTTGATATACACAGTAGTACGGTTGGAGCTTTTTGGGGCCTGTGAAGCTCTGGGGCCCCACCCCAGTTGCTCCCTTTGACGCTGACCTTGTACTTGACATAACCTGTCCTGTGGTTTTACTCTGGGTAATATTGTTTATTTTCCCCCTAGCACTATATAATGTTCACCTTCAAAATACTTCATTTTCTTTGGTTGGATGTTGGAAGAATAAAGTACAGAGACCGCTCTAGATACCTTTACATGTTTACTACTGAGACATGCATGTACTGAACTGTTCACTGGTGTCTCTTTCAGTATTGGTCCTAACTAGGGCTCTGGCTGACTCTGCTCAGGAGGTTGTGATTTTATTGTGATGTATCTGTGTGCCAATCATCTGAAGGAGGGACATATAGGTACTGGGGTTCAGGTCTGCTGAATACATCATTCCTAATGTCACTCTGTAGCAGGAGCCATTTCGAACAGTTTTAGACCTGGTCCCTGTCTAGTAGCCAGTGCAGAGAGCTGGCAGCACCCATGGTAAAGCTCTAATCATTTCACAACTTTATGTAACCTCCAATCTCTGTAACTGCACACGTTCCAGCAGCAAGCATGAATTCTGGGAGCATTTTACCTTTGTTTGGTGGCGAATAAAGGGTCTGAGGTGAATCACATTTTATGCAATTAATGATTAGTTTCATTATCAATTATAGCTATTGTTTTTTAAAATTAAATAGTTAAGTCTATAAAATGTTTGCTTGTTTTGTCCTAAAATCAGCCCCAAACCCCCAAATGTTCAATTTATAATATCCTGACATTTAGGAAGCAGGAACCAGCTAATATTTGGTGTGTTACTTGATAAATGACTTAATGAATTGTCAGTAGTTGTTTGTGAGCTCATTCTTAACTTTTGGAAACAGCATGTGGAACTAAATAGTCTAGTCTGAGTTCAAAGTTGGACTTCGTAGCATCTCTGAGCTTTCAAGTCTCATAGTCTTCTTTAGTGGTAACATTGTCAGTCAATACTAATTAACTGATCAAAATCATTAGATTAGGCACATTTTTAAAAGGATTAATCACTTTAATCACTTTTATGTGCTACTGAATGTGAATATTTGCACACGAGATCTTTTGGTTTTACACTGCAATTTGAGAATGCGTGAGTACTGGGAAATTATGATTATATTATATACTAGCAGAGTATCTGTTTATGTACATATTTAAATATTTTCTGCAGTTTTATGGGATAAATAATGTATTTATTAAACATGGAAAATCAAGAACAAAAAATTGGCAGGTGGTGAAAATAAACTGAATTGCGTCAGTATAATGAACTAATCATTTTAGCACTGTTCAGGACTGCCGCACTGATTGCGCAGGTCTTAGCTCAGGGGAAAGGAGCCTGAGACCCAGGGACCAACCACACAATTTAAAGAAATATCCACGTGGAGAACAAATCTCAAAAGTTTAATAATGAAAAAATGCCTCTTTGATAGCAAACAAGTGCCTCTTCAAAAAGGTTAAACAATGGGGTTTTAATGAGGCAAGGAAACTGTTGCACAAATGACACCAAAGACTGCCCTGGTACAGGCACTCAAAAGTGTGCCCTGGTACAGGCACTAAGGGGTGTTCAGTTTCAGAAAAGTCAATGACTTTCAATGACAAACAAGAGAGACAGCAAAGAAACCTCAGAGGGACTTACAGGACTGAGCTTCAGGCTGACTATGTCTGCTGAAGTGAGTTCTGCACCAAGCAGAGGAAGGCTTAGAATACCCTGGGTGTGCAGTTCCCCTCCTCTCTCTCGCCGTCAAGAAAGGACGTTGTCACACCCTGAATGGCCAAGAGGGGAATCACCAAGCTGCTATCAGTCCTCGTTGAGGAGTCAGTCATCACCCCCTGTGCATGTGGTCCCAGTGTTCCTCTGATCAACCCAGAGGAATGTTGACATTGAGTCAAAATGAATGGGGAAAAGGAAAATGAAATAGCAGCAAATATGTATGAATGAGGGACTGCTACAATGTGGTAATAAAGTATTCAGTTAACAAAGAATCAGACTTGCCAGTAGTTCTCATTAAACCTCTACACAGAGAATAAATGTACGCTGAGATACAAATACACTACTAACCCGGGCTAACCATCATCTGGTGGAGTTTGCTCAGTTATCAAGGAGCTGCAACTTAAGTCACAGAACAGGTGATCAGCCAAAGTTCATTACTTAATGGGTTAGACTGTGAGATGCTTCTGAAAGCGCTGGGAAAAGCTAGTTAGTGGACCTTGAGTTTTTTTTGTCAGGAATGAACTTTTGTTGGCATTGTGCTGTAGCAAGTAGTTCAAGAGTGTGCAGTGCAAAGAATGTTAGTATGTAATAAGTTACTGCATATACAGAGGTCAATGATGTGTTCCTCTTCATGGATAGAGTATATGCAAAGCATACACAGTTTTCTTAGATGGATAGTTTTTTCCACATTTTACAAAACACT